TCACTGCAATGTAGACACGTTGGTGATCGAAAGTTGATTAAATATTTATTGTGCGTCAAACGGCATGTCCGTAGCGTGGCGCTGAATTTCCATGGTTCGCAGTGAAGAGTCTTGCTATGAACGCATAAGTCTTTTGCACAGTGTCTGAAACGCGTGACAATGTAGAGCGGTCTCCCTCAGCTTCCGGCGATGAGGGTTTGGGCGTGGGGTGACGTGGTGTGGCGCGGCTGCAGCAGGCAACCACCGTGCAGGCCCTGACGTGGGGAGATGGCGAGGTCCCACCCAACGCTGCTTGCAGCTTTAATTTAGGATTGTTGCAGCCTAAAATGCCTGATTTCACAGCACACAACATTGTTTACAATGAAAAAAAAAAAATTGCATTTTTTGTATGTTTCATTACAAATCAAAGGTAACTTGTTCCTGTAAGAATACAATTGCTAGATTAGAGGAGAAATGTGAAGCATTTGCATCACATTTCTGAAACAAAGTAGTGAGTTTTGTGAAACTGAAAGAATTGCAATGTCACGCTGAATTTAAAGGGATTGGTTAAATTTGTCATCGCAACTTCCTGGAGGGACTATGTGTAGATCAAAAAAGTAATGTGAGACAGTTAAAAAACAGTAGTGTGAGAAAAAAAAGATGATGATGAGATATTCACAGATTTTCTTTGATTTTGGCAGGAATATAAGATGGCTACACCGACACGTGAAGAGCAGCTCCTGAGAGCACTGAAGGATCTAGGAGATGAGGAGCTAAAAGAGTTCAAGTGGTACCTGCAAAAGTCGGAGGTCCTGGAACGCTTTCCAATAATCCCAAGGAGCCGTTTAGATAAAGCAGACCGGCCGGATACAGTCGATCAGATGCTACAGACCTACTGTGAGAACACTCTGGAAGTGACCAAAAAGGTTTTAAGGAAGCTAGACAGGAATGATCTAGTGCGGATTTTATCAGACCCAAACTCAGAGCCACTAACAGGTAAGTCGTGGAATGATTAAAAGTCATGCATCAGATAACTGACCTTGATTCCTGGTGGCAGTAGTACTGCTACCAGAAAGCAAACTAGCAAGGATTCCTGTCCTTATCATCACTCTAGTGATTCCTGGTTGGCCAAGGCATATGTTTTATGGGCCTTGCCAGGCCGAGCAGTGCAAGGATAACATTTAAAAGATCAGTAGAATATGGAAAGGATCTAGTGATTCAAACTCAACTAACATTCTTCATCGCAATACCTTCCGTCAGCTCAGGACCATATTAGATAGATAGATAGATAGATAGATAGATAGATAGATAGATAGATAGATAGATACTGTATTTATCCCGAGGGAAATTCAAGTATCCAGTAGCATACAAAATACAAGCCTTAAGAATAGAATTAAATATAAAATATTATATATATATAATATATAAAATTAACAGTAGCTACAGTAAACAGTGCAAATGGAAGCAAAGAAGTAAAGTAAAGTAGTTTGGGGTTCTCACAGGACAGCAACACTACAAACATATGATGATCTTGATAGAATATGATGCATTGCTGTACTATCCAACAGTATATAAAGTAGTTAAAATGAGCTCTTAAACATTTACAGTAATGAAATGTAACGCAGCAGTAATATTAATCCAAAATATAATAGTAAAACATGGGCAGGGAACATTTTATTGCACAATCAGCACTTTTACTTTTGATACTTTAAGATGATAATACATTCTCTTACTTAAGTAAGGTTTTGAATGCAGGACTTTTACTAATTGAGTATTTTCACATGTATCAAAAACAACAAACAAAAGTGTTCTAGAAATAAACCTTAAAAGGCATTAAACCTGTCAGAATAAGCTCATTTGTATTAACCCCAGCCCCCTTTCCTTTTTAAAAGCTCCTTTTTTTAAAATTTAAAGAACAAAATTATGTTTCTAATGGAGCAAGGGAAAGGACAATATCAAACCATTTTCAGTCATATTTAATTTCCACTGTACTTGCAGGCATCAAATGTCATGTCCTTTCAGGGTAAAGGTAAGCTCACCCCACCCAGTCTGTGCAGGGAAGCCTTCCTCCTTCCTCCTCCTCCTCCTGCAGAGCCTCAGCGTCTCATGAATAATCAGGACTTTCTAACATCCTCCCCTTCCAGCAGGCGGTGGGGTTTCAGTCAGGGGGGAGACTGACAGGTGGACCGTCCGTGAGCCCCATCTAATCTGGGAAAAAGGGACTTTTAGCCTCTTCCTCGGCCCTGGGAGGACCATGGCGCTCTCCAGGATCTGTCGAGAGTCTTTGCTGGTGATTTTACTGCAAATTGTGCTAATCTGCTCCGCTCAGGTGAGACATAGGTGCTCTGTCTTTTCTCTCCTTCAACTCCTGAGGAGAAAACACCAGTGTATATTCCTATAGGTGCAGAGTAAGGGATTTATAGAGAGCTTACTGTACTTTATAGTGTTTTACATACTATGCTTCCTTATAATATAACAGAGAATCTGAGGAACTTTTAAAAGTAAATTCATATTTTAACTGTATGATTGGCATCTTTATCATATTTTATATTCCTAGTGGCACTTTTACTTATTATTTGTGACTTTCCTGTACCTTACTTCTTCTTTTAGTCCAGGTT